GAATAGAATGGATACTAGTTAATGGCCTCCAACAACAGAGCAACATGGGAAAAGAGAAACACTTTATGGCAAGCAGGCAAAAAGCAGTGAAGCAGAAGCCCTCACTTACTCCTTCATTTTACTCAGTCTACAAGTATTTTGGGCAAGGTGGTGCCAGTCACACTCAGTGTAGGCCTTCCATTGTTCACACCCAGAGCTATGCTAAATCACTTGGCTAACTAATTAATAACACACAGTCTTAATCCCAGCATCACACTCCCTGGAACTAACCTGCTCTAAAAAGCCACACCAGCTGTGCAGACAGTTCAGTGGTTCAAGCATCTGCATGTTAAGCTCAAGGACTTGGGTTCAATCCCTGATACCACATGCCATGCTAGCCCCCAAAACTACAGGTGCATGGTTCTGGCCCTGAACCTGGGTGTGGTGGCATGTGCCTATAATCTCAGTGCTGGTGAGGCTGAGACATGAGAGCTACTGAGTTCAAGCTGCATAGCAAGATGCTGTTCCAAATAAATATTTAAATAAATGATTTAAAAAATAAAAAATTGTTAAAAGCCCCATCTATAAGTGCATGAGATTTTGGGGGAGAACTTGAAATAGAAGCCAGAGCAAATGATGACATATCCTGTTGTGCCTTCAGCACTGATGAGAACTCCTGCACTCCATCACCTTGTTTTAACCTCCTGTACCCCTGAGCCTACAGCCATGTTCCTGCATTGGGATCCTTAGAAAAATTTGAAATCTGTGGTAGTAATTTTCCCTATGGCTCACTATAACAGTATATCTCCAAAACACTTACTTCATAATTGTGGAAAAAGTATAATTACTCCACTCTGCCTAGGGCCTGCAGAGAACAATGCACCACTAATTTCATACTTGTGGGGAGATTCTTGGGTCAGTGTAAGGTGAATTCACTTCACAACAGGTGTAATGGAAATCTCACGTTTTAAAATGGGACTCATATTTAAAGATGGGGTCATGTTGTGTACCTAGAAACTGATCAATGTTTAATGCTACTCTAACTTTTCACCAGGTTAGAAGAGTCTGTGATATGTCCATTTTCCGCATCTGATTCAAACCCTTTGGGATTTCCAAAGATGGCAATCTATCAATCTCTAGGCAGCAAGCACCTGAGCTTTTCCAAGACTGATATGTACACATCAATTCCTGGCATTATCTAATAAGGAAAATGTTCCTGATTTATGGCATAACTTCTTATTCATATAATAAACTTTGGTAAACAATATGAAAAAGGCCTTTATTTTTCCATGAATATCTCATGCTTGCATATATGACAAGAGACATAAGATTAGCTGGGTTTGTTTTTCTTAGAGGCCATAATGGTAAGTGAAATATATCAGACCTATATGTGTAAACATCATATTGCCTCAATAGTGTAAGAACTTAAAAGAGTAAATAAAATCTAAAAATGGACCACACATATGATGAAAGGAAAAGAATCTGTTCAAAGTGAAGGAAAAACTGAGATGAGTAAAAGAATAAAAGAAAGAAGTGGAAAAAATATATATGTATATATACAGGATTGCTTGGATAACTTTACTGCTGATATCTGCTGGTCTATTGAAAGGAGCAGTTAATGCTTATTGTTTTATACTTTTTCATTTTTCATCACTTCTTACTTTCTACCAATTATGCATTTTCATATCGGGTAATATAACCTAATGATTGGAAGATAACATTATGCAATGCAACAACCATTGTCAAATTCCTATTATTTTGTTTCATGAGATTCTGTTTTATTTCTAATGTTTTCTTTACCATTTTATATTCTCTCTAAAAAATAGAAAAATGAAAGATCTGCTGGACTGGGTTCAGGTCTTCTCATATCTGTATTTGCCTTCCTAATCTCTATAGCTCATTCCTCAGAAAATTGTCAACACATTTAAATACAACAGCTCAAACACAGTCTTTCTTCAAAAACTAACATATATATACTTATATATATGTATATAATTTACATATATTTATATTCATTGTTAATATTCACATCTGTTTTACTGAACATATAACAGCATTTAGATTTTATTATTTCTCAAGTTTTAATGACACTAAATTCACCAATTGTAATCTAGTATTTCTTAATGATAAATAATTGAAATTGTGTTAAAAATAGAAAAAGTCCTGTTTGGGTATTTTATTTCAAATTCTGTGAAAAATATTAACTTATATCTTATTATATGTAGTATTATCAAAATGAACACGACTTTTTTGTAAAAAAGAAAAAATTAATTACTTTATCTCACATCTTTAAAAACTTCAGTAAGAAGACTCTTTGTAATACAATGCTATAATTAAACATTTGGAAAGACATAATTCAAAAAGGAAAAAATTTATTGATAAACATACTTTTTATTTCTATGATTGCATTAAGAAAAATACATATTATCTTAAATTTTCTTCATTTCTGAGATATGTAAATGCTTGTTTAAATATTTTCCTGCTTCTCTAACCATATATAATGCCATTCAAGTTTTGTAATATTGCTGTACTCTTCAAGGTTAACGTCCACAGGATTCTTTCATCAAAACAGTTATTCAGACTTTCATTAAGGGCTTCTCAGTTTTTCTTCACTTACATTGATTGAAAATGTATAAGTTCCAGTCAATGATGTAAATAATGCTGCAGTAACTTCCTGCATCTACAAAGCACATGTTCCTTACTTGCATGTTTCCTAGAATGATGGGCTTTGTGAGAGAAGATGTTTTCTGGATGTAATTAGGACAATAATTTAGGTCCAGTTTCTTCCCACTGAAATAAGATGTAATATCAACCTTTTGTATAAATGGATGGATTGGTTTTGGTTAACGTAAATTGGGCTTTAGTCTTCCTCACTCAGACTACTGTTGGAATCCTTGGAAATTTTGCACTCTTTTGCTTGTATAACATTTCCTTATTCACTGCTCAAGTGTTGAGACTCATAGATGCGATTCTCATACAGCTGTTCCTAGCTAACATCCTGGTCCTGCTCTCCAAAGGGATTCCTCAGACCATGGCTGCCTTTGGGTTGAAAGATTTCCTGGATGAGACTGGATGCAAGCTTGTCTTCTACTTGTACAGAGTGGCCAGAGGGGTTACCCTCAGCACCACTTGCCTACTCAGTTGTTTCCAAGTCATTATAATTGGCCAAAGTTTTTCAGGGTGGATAGAAACTAAAATTAAATCCCAGAAGTATCTTGGCTTTTTCTGTTTTCTCTGCTGGCTCCTGAACCTCCTGATAAATGCCCGAACTGTTGTGAATGTAACAGGACCAAAGAACAGCAGGAACATGAGCATGCAAAACATGTACAGATACTGCTATGTTCCTGTTCGTAAAGATCTGACATTCACACTAACAGCAACCCTTTACTTCCTCACTGATTGGACTTTCTTGGGTCTTATGGTCTGGGCCAGTGGCTCCATGGTCCTTCTGTTGCACAGACACAAGCAGCGTGTCCAGCACATTCACAGCCACCGTGTCTCCCCTTCATCTTCCCATGAGGCCAGAGCCAGCTGCACTGTGCTGATCCTGGTGAGTATGTTCGTCTCCTTTTATGCTTTTTCTGCCATTTTATCATTTTGGATAACACAGAGCCTGAGTCCCAGCCCCTGGCTCATGAACACTGTTGTGCTGCTCTCCTCAGCCTACCCTGCATTCAGCCCCTTTGTGTTTGTCTTCAGTGACACTCATGTCTCTCAACTCTGTGTTCTCTCATGGACAAGAAACACAAACACTGCACGTTTGTTCTCCAGGTTTTGAGTTCCTTCAGAATGTCATTCCCTTTTAATTAAGTTGTTTCAAAATTTGTATCGGGTGATGATATGAATGCTAATCTGAAAGCTCCTTGGTATGTTTTAGTGTAAGAAAATGATGGCTATAACCTCATGCTGTCTATTGGAACTTCAAAATGTAAACTGTATAAACAATT